TTATATGTTTTCTACACTTTAAATTATTTGTTTTGTTTATAAACTTCATCTACAATTTTTCATTATAATAAATACTTCGTATTTAACTATGGAGTATTATATATATCGACTGTGAAAGTCGTAGTAAAGAAACGGAGGTACCAAGGTGGTAAATGTAGAAGATGACCATGGATTTAAAATTATAATGCTTACTTGGACCATAGAATTATGAGCATAGCTTAATTCTTGATGTGGTGACCCATTTGTACGATTAAGGTTCAAATCCATTTTTCTGATCGATTGACTAAACAATTATTTAGTGATTGCTTTTAGTAGTACCTATTGTAATATGACTGCATATACGTAATTGTTTGTTTATTGTTTAGTTGCATTGTGTTCACCTTTATATAAGCGTCTAGCTAGGTGACATAATTGAATTTATTGCCAAAATTTGAATTTATTGCAAATTCATTGTACTATATACTTATGTAATCCCTCTTCCTTCTTTTTTTTCTTTTTTTTTTAGATTAGTCACAAGGTCCATTTTCATAATATAATTTAATTACAATTATTACTTATAGACAACTAAAGATATTAATGGTCAAGGTAACATCTAACAAATGCGTCGATCAAACTGATGCATTTACAAAAAAATAGGGAGTGTTATATTGAACGAATTGTCAAATTGGTATTAAAATAAATAAATTACTAAAATAGTGTTTAATTAGAATATTTCTTAAATCAGTGTCTATGTAGGATTGGAAAATATGAAGTGAGGAGTTAAAACTTAAGTCCGGTTCACTTCACCATGAAAAATAATATTCAGTAAAAATAATTTCAGTTCAGTAAAAATAATTTCAGCTCAGTAAATTAAAAATCAGTACCTTTAGAGAAGAAATATAACAAAAAATCAGTAAAAATAATTTCAATTCAGCAAAAATAATTCCAGTTCAGTAAAATTAATTTTAGTTTAGTAAATAAGGGTCTGTTCTCATTTACTGAACTGAGCTGAACTGAACTGAACTAAACTGAATAGAGCTAAAATGAATATTTTACAAGAGAAGAAAATTAGGAGCTAAACTAAATTGAACTGAACTGATTGAAGATGAACTCAACTGAATTGAATTGAACTGATTGGAGCTGAACTAAGCTGAAATTAAACTGAAGTGAACATGACCTAAATTTAGCAAAAATAATTTCATTTCAGCAAAAATAATCCCAGTTTAGCAAAAATTAGATGAAGTAAACGGGGCCTTACTGGCTAGAAAAATCATTTAAGAGATATATTTTTCTAATAAAATCATACTCCGTAATAAATAGAGTTAGCATAAATACGGTCCCTCAACTATTGTATTTGTAGCATTTTGGTCCCTCGTCTTTTTAATGAAGCAAATTGGTCCCTCTGCCACCCTTACATGATTTTTTCCGGTGAAAAAAATGATGAGTCACCATAGTTTAGGGACTACAATACCCATGTGGCAAAAGAAAAAAAATTAATCAAAGTTTAAGGACCTTGGTATGAGTAGACATTATTTAATTAATGAAGTGGTAAAGTTTAGTGACCTTCTTCCTCGGTTATCTTTGGTCCATGACCTTGTCTTTGACACTATTAGCCCACAATGACACCTTTGACCACTTCCACTTGATCCATTGCTACATCTAAACATTGCCTGTCATCAATAAACATATTAATATTGTTTAAATCTTTTAATTTTGATCAACTCCTAAATACCTTAATTACTAATTTTATTGCATAGCAGATACCTTGACAGGAGCTTTCTTCTTCACTGCAGCAATTTTTTTTTCTTTTGGAAGAACTTTTGCTTAATAGTCTGATGGTTTTAATGGATACCAACATCAATATATATAGCCACTTTTGTGTGTAACGGCTAGTTTTTTGTAACTATTTTGGAATTTGGTTATTTTTTGCAGTTACAATCCTTTAGAATTAAATGCAAAGCCTCTATTCTTCAAACTACCAATTTTTCTAACTGAAAATACCCGTGTAAGCATGCAGCTCCTTAATTGATGCCCCGAACTACAGAAATGAAAGGGGTATGTATAGAGAAAATGAATAGAGGGAACACACGGAACCCTAAAAAGATGAAACCCTAAATTTGGGTGTTGTGACACGACCGAGGTTTTCCGCGACACGGTACATAATACCGCGTCACGGTGCAATACCTGCCATAAAATGATAAAACGCGTACAGGTTTTACGCTGAGAAAACACGGGAAAATCCCGTGACACTGCAGAAAATGCTGTGACGTGACAATTTCCACCGTGGCGCGGCACGTTGTGCTGTGACACAGTGCTCATTTTTTCCATATTTGCGTCCAAATTTATTTTTAACCTATATTTACTCTCAGCATTTTCAAGTGTCGTTTCATAATTTTGGGCTATTTATGTTTATTAATCATTAATTGGGATAAATTAATAAATAATACAAAATGGAAGTAAAATGTTCGGGCCAAAATTGGACTATGCTTTGACTAGACATTCGGACTGATCCGTTGAATATTTTGTGAACTGAGTTTGATTGAACATGAGTTTTAAGCACTCTCGGGATTAAATACTCAACCCGACCAATAATGGTGGTGAAAGATTGTTCATCATTGGCTTTGGTTTCGAGAATAAATTTTTAGGTGTCTACAAACATATTCATTTATTATTTAAAAATATTGTTACACAATTACCTTATTCAATATATACTATACTTCGTATATAATTTAAGAGAAGTTTTCCCAACTTCTCACCGCACCACTCCAAACCTCAATCCTATAATTGTGTGCACTCTATTTTTTCTTTTTTTTTCAATAACTTCTACTTCTCTAAATTTTAGACAAAAAAAATTAAAAAAAAAAAAACCCAAATAACTTCTATTTTCACTTTTACTATTTTACAATACAATAGTACATATGTCTCCATATATAATTGCACATTTTTTTAGCAACGTTCAACCACAAGCATATTTATTATGTTGTTTCATTTAAAAAAAATATATATATAAACCACCCACTTTACTTAATATTACAAATATACACACTAATTTTTTTAAACCAATATTGAAAGAAATTTACATAATAATTGCAGTTTTTATTTCCTAACTTTTTAGCACGACCGATGAAAACTTCAATCTTAAAATTATAGGTATTTTATTTATTATTTTTAAAACTAAAATAGCCCCGTAAGTTCACTAACTTTTATATGTGCCTAGCCACTTTATGGAATTATTCGATTAGGGTTATAAGGGTTACTTTGTTACGGTTATAAAGGTTACTTAGTTAATAATATAGGGGTCACTCTGTTAGTTTTTAGGGGTTATTCTATTATTTCAAGGGTACTCAAAAAGTATAATAAGGGATTACCGAGTCAATATAATAGGGGTTACTCCATTTCCCTTCCAGTGATTATACACTGATGTGTTGCAGCACACTAAAAACGCACTAGCATAAGTTCCACTATTTTCCTTTAAAAAAAAATTTCCTACGTTGTTTTTTATATTTTTCAAAATTATTCAATAACTACCTTGTTATTGATTTTGTAGTCGTCAAAAGAAAAAAAATAGTAATACTATATCAAAATATAGTATTTGTAAGAAAAATTATTATTTATTTTAATATCTTACTATGTGATATATATATCCCGTGAATTTTGCACAAGTATATTTTAGTGCTAATAATTTGAAAGAATAAAATAAGGTGTATTGTGTTATTTATTAAAGATATAACATACGTAGCAATATTTATAAGATATGAAGTAACAGATATGGAAAATTTTTATCACAGATATAGAAAGTATGTGAATCAAAATTACCACAATTAAAAGATTTGGTGAATATTTCGTGTATTAATTACAATACAAAGTAGTAGATTAGTAGGTGACATCGGGTAAAATAAAGGAAAAAGAAAAAAAAAGAAGGAGGTTTTGAAGGGAAAAAATAGCATTAGGAAGTGACAAGTGTTATTCCTAATATATATTGTTTGACTTTATATCATTTTTTTCATATCAATATTTTTTTAAAAAATAATGTAATATATCATGATATGCATACTACACCATTTTTTTTTAAAACAAATGAGCTCTCCACTTTATATAATGTAGTGTTGCATATTTTAATTAGGAGGTTGGATGATATAATTTAGTCTACATTTTATTCTTATTCTTATTGTTATGTAAGAGTTGGGCACATTTCATTTACGATGTAATGTATATTGTTTTAAGAACTCTTTATATTCTTGTAAAAAAAAAATCTTATTTTAGGAAGTTAATAAAATAAATAGAGAAATATTTGAAAAAAATGTGGTAAATCTTGTAATAGAGGAAATAATAGTCTTTATTACTTTTCAAAATAATACATTAGACCTTACTTTTGTAAGCTTGTAAATATTCCTCATTATCATACATTTATTAGGAATCTCTTTTTTTTACCTTAAAAAAAACCAATCATTATACTTCGTAACTTTTATTGTACTAGGGCAGCTGACGCGAGCGTCGCGCGCATCATAACTAGCCATATCTAGATGCTCTTTCGCTTTGGCCTTTTTTTTTTTTTTTTTTTTTTTGCCAACAGCAGAAAGAAAGGAAGAAAAAGGAGAAAAGCTAAACTAAAATACATCAAATCCTACCGAATTAGAAAAGCAGTTTAAAGAAATACAACACTGATTAGCAATACAATGAGAGAGGTTGACCTAAGCTCTATCAACTTTGAGGATAATGCAATGTTGGAAGGTGCTTCCAATTTTAATAATATCCTTCCAAGTCCATTAAATATGAATATCCAAGGGTTTTTCCCTTTTAAGCATCGTCACAAGAGAGGCACAATCGGTTAAAACACTGATTGAACGGTAGCCATTATCTATACCCCAGCGTAAAGCATATAAACATGCCAAGAGCTCCGAATGTAAGGCTGAGGCCGTAATTCCAGATTTTCCACCTGCTTCCAATTCACCTAAGCGAAACATCTCTATTGTCCAACCAACCCCATACCGTTTGCTAGACTTTTTCCACGAACCATCAATTCAAATTGTATCAGGAGCTAAAGAGTCATTGAAATGGAGGACATGGTTCTCTTGTCCAATCAAGACCTGAAAGAACCCTGGCGGGATCCGGTTACAGAGATCAGGTAACTTGAGCAATTTCCTGTAATCTAGTTGTCGATTTCGTATAATCATTCTAAAAAGAAAATCCTCCTTCAGATTACCAAAGTAACAGCCCAAATATTCGTTGTCACCTTGAAAGACACTCTTATTCCGAGTAATCCATATGACCCATAAAGTGGCTACAAAGGCCTGAATACGATTACTACGGATTCCATCCTGACTATAGAAAAGCAGAATATGGCTTCGGATCCAATCCTCTAGGGAAGTGGCATCCGTTATACTTTTACAGTTCGATATCTGGCAGTTGTCCTAGGCATATCGAGCTATGGAGCATTCAAGAAAGAGATGAAAACCATCCTCCTCCTTTAGATCGCAGTAGTCACAACTAGCGTCAGTGATAATTCCTCTTGTTTGGAGATTAGCCTTGACAGGGAATCCATTTACAACAAGTTTCCACATGAAAATTCGCCATTTGGGGGGAATATCGAGACGCCATAAAATTTTGAAAAAATCATAAGTTTCTTTCCTATGAGGAGACTCTCGCATACCTTCCGGATTTGTTAAGAAGGCGTACTCTGATTTAACCGTATAGGTCCCTTTACTATGCCAGGGCCAGTATAAGAAATCCTCTTCTTCCTCGGCTGGAAGAGCCATAGAAAAAATTTCATGTGCACTATCCCACTCAAAACGATCCCGAATAATTCCAACATTCCAAGAGCGGGAAGGGGTAATAAGTTCACTAACTTTCCAAAAAGCACTCTGTCTAAGATTCTGATTTGAGTTAACAACTGGAATTTTATTGTTAACCCATTTTGAATTGGAAGCTAGAACATTATGACCTGTACCAATTTTCCATGCGAAACCTGTCCTCATTTTAACATCCGTAGAATGCATAGCACGTCTAACCCATGAGAAAGAAGCTGGAGGAGGTTTACGGCAATCGGAGTGGGGACAGAAGATACAATCTGATTTTGCGTTATAAACTTTAGCAGGAAGAAGTTGTGGATTGGTATGCATGCGGTGAATATTTTTGAAAAGTAAGGCTTCATTATAACTACTAGCAGATCGAATCCCCAATCCCCCCATACTTTTGGGGAGCTGAACCCGTTGCCTATTGATCCAGTGGATGCCTTTGTCCCCACTTTTGGCCTACCAAAATCCAGTGAAAAGAGAGTCCAGTTTATTAGAGATGGACATCGGAATTTTGCAACTTTTCATAACATGAGCAACCATTCCCAGAAGAACAGAGTTAATAAGGATGAGCTTAGCACTATCAGAAAGTTTACAGTGTGCCCAGGACAAGATTTTTTTCTTAATATTCTCAAGAAGATCCATAAAATGGCTAGCTTTCCTCCCAGACAGGTCAATAGGAACTCCCAAGTGTTTCCCCATATTGTCGATAATAGGAACTCGGAGAATAGATTTATAGGAGTGAGCTAACTCTAGAGAAACAGACGGGCTAAACTTGACGAATGAATTTGAAAAATTAATCTGTTGACCAAAGGCCTTTCCGAATCTGGCAAGAATATCTGCTATAGTACCACACGACTCCTCTGAGCATTGAAAAAAGAACATTGCATCATCCACAAAAAAAAGATGGGAGATAGAGGGGGCCCGTCTTGAGATTTTAATGCCTTTAAGGCTATGAATATCCTCAGCAAGCAGAAGCATACGGGAAAGGACATACATGCAAAATAAGAATAAATAAGGGGATAGAGGGTCACCTTGTCTTAGGCCACAAGTCGGAGTGAAGGAATCCGATGTTTGCCCATTGATAAGAGCCTTGAAGGTGACTGTAGAAATACATTGAGAAATCCATTGGATCCAAATGACGGAAATCCATAAGCTCCAAGAACTTTGAGTAGAATAACCAATCCACTCTGTCATAGGCTTTCGACATATCAACCTTTAGGGTCGCTAAATGAGAAGATCTATCTTTAGATTTTATGAAATGCATTAATTCTTGAGACATAAAAGTATTATCCTCCATGTGTCTACCTAGGATAAAGGCATGCTGAAAATCCGAAATCAAGAGTGGAAGGACCACTTTTAAGCGTGAAACAAGGCACTTAGCAATACACTTATAAATTGTATTGCAAAGGCTAATAGGTCTGAATTGAGAAGCTAATTCTGGGGTATCAGTCTTCGGAATCATAACCAACATAGTCGAGTTTAATTCTTGGAGAAGAAAACCTGTATTAAAAAAGTGTTGAACACTTTTGGAAACTGTAAAACCAACTGTGTCCCAATTTGTATGGAAGAATTCTGCAATACACCCATCCGGCCCTGGCGATTTAGACCCTTTAAGATAAAAAATTGCTGCTTTAATTTCTTCAAAATCAAAAGGTTGACATAAGGTTTTGCTTTGAGCGCTTGAGAGGGAAGGAAAATGCATTTTCCTAAGCAGCAAATCAATCTGTTCCGAGTGATCATTGTCAATAGAAGGCTCAAAAACATTTTTAAGAGAGTTAACAATAAGCTTAGAGACTTGAGAGTGTCCTTCCACCCATGAATTATCCTCCGATTGGAGGGTAATAATTTCATTTCTTGCTTTCCGGAGTTTCACCTTATTAAAAAGGCATTTCGAAGGAGTGTCCCCATCTTTTATCCACTCACATTTTACCCGTTGCCTCCAATATTGAAATTATAACTTGCAATTTGGAATGAAGGAGTTATGTCTTTGTCGTGTGCAATTACTAGATGTATAATTGGATCAAATTATGGAGATAAAAAAGTGCGTACATTTGGGGCGTCGTTTTGCCATAGATAGAGGTACTAACGATCTTTAGACTAGTAAAATAGCCCAAAGCCCAATTGGACGGATCCTATAAGTCACAAAAAGAGGCTAGATCGAGCATTAGAGGACGAGGCCCATCATGGGCCTCATCACTCTAGGTGGCCGACCATGTAGGGGAATTAAGAGGTTTTTGGGATTCGTGCCCTAGTCTAATTATAATGAGATTATAAATAGACTAGGTGCCTAGGTTTGCAAGAGTAGGAAGGAATTAACTGATCAGTGTGATCAAACCCGAATTAGCAAACACTAAACCCAACCCCTCTCAAAGTCCTCTCTCTCACACGGCTCTCTCCTCCTCCTCGGCGCCGGTGGTGACTCGTGGTGGTGGTGGTTTGTGCGGTGGTCAGTTGTCCGTAAAGGTGGTGATCGCGGTTTTCCTCAATCACTCGACCAATCTAGTATTGGTGGATGGATCGTTCGAATCTCGTGGACTAAGTAGAGGAGCAACGCTTGGGGCTCTATTCTCTCCTTGATTTGCCTGTCGAATAGCTTCGTGGAATTCACGCGTCAAAGGTATGATTATGTGTCTTGTGTGTTATGCATGTAGATTGGTACTTGATTGAATATGATTCATGTTATTTTCGCTGTGTAGTACCTATAAACTCCTACAGTGGTATCAGTTAGCGTCTTGCATGAACGCGCTAGATCATAATAATATAATTATTTGATGTCCATGTTAATTTTATAATCAATTAAGAGGGAGAAATTAATTAAATTATGGTTCAATTATTATATTTAATGTGATTAAACTTTTGGAATTGATTAAATGTGATTTAATTATGCTCAAAATAGCCATGAAGAGACTGAATTTTAGCCCTAATATGTTCGAAAATTTCAAACCCCCTAACCCTAAATTTCGAATTTTTCGAAAATCCTAGCCCTAAAATATGATTTTTGTGCTTGATTTTGATTTAATTCGATTTATTTTATGATTCATAATTTTAGTCGGATTGATTTATGCATAAAAGTGTTTTGTGTAGTATGATCATCAATTTAATTTTAAAAGTTAGAATTAAATTGGGATTAATTTTATGAAGAACCCTAATTTTAAGATTGAATGTTGATTTAATTTTAAATTTGGGGACTGATTTAATTTAATATTAATAAATGTTATTTTAATTAAATTAAAACAAAAAAAATAAAAAATTAAATTAGAGGCAGCAGCCACGGCTGGGTGGCGCAGCCACGGTGGCTGCCGCCGCTATTGGTCCAAGAGGGAAGGAAGGGGAGGGCGGAGGTCGAGGGTGGTTGTGGGCAGCAGCGTGCAAGTGTTGCACGGCTGCTGCCACCGCTGCTCGCGCTGCTGCCCTTGCGGCAGTGGCTGTCGTCAAGGCAGCCAGCCACCGTGGCTAGCTTCGGCTAGCCAACCACGGTGGCCGGCAATGGTGGCTGGCAGTATTTCAAAAAAAAAAACTGTTTTGAAAAATTATTTCAAGATAATTGTGAATTATTTTGGGATAAAATCAGTTTTATTTTGGATAAGTTAAAATATTTTGAAATTATGATCTTTTATTTTTAAAGATAAAATTGATTTTATTTGGATAAAATATTTTATTTTAGGATAAAATCAAATATTCAAAAGTTGTTATATTTGATATTATCCATATTTAAAGTTGTTAAATTGGTAATTATCCTAATTAAAGTGATTAATTTTGGATAAGATTGATTAGGATATTCTGAGCATATTCCAAAAGGATAATAATTGAATTAAATAATGTGCTTATCCCATAATTATATTAGGATATAATTGATTTTAAAATTATTTAATTGGCTAGTAATTAGGATAGAATCTCCTAAATTTGTTAGGATAATCATGAAAGATTAAATATGATTTATCTTTCTAGATTAAAAGATTATTTAATTCTATCTCATGACTAAATTAAATATATGATATTTTATAACGGTGATGAATAATATATGATATTATCTTATTATGATTAAAATATAAGATATTTTAGGAAATGAGTTGACTTTATTATGAACATTCGATGTTGTAGTTTAGATAAGCATGTTGAGTGATTTATTATATCGCACTTTTATATAATATATGATATTATGTTGCTATATATAGAGTAGTATGGCCCATAGATTCTTAAATACGATCTGCGCATCGTGAAGTATTTTTGTAATCTTAATACGGTCTACGTACCGTTAAGTATTTTTTGTAACTTTTATTTAAAGTAAATAGAATAGTTATTTAAATAGTGTTAGTCCAAAGAAGCCCATGAAGTGAAGGCCCAAAGGAGCAAGGTGGATGGAGATCCATGATGATTCAAGTAGGAGCTTTTTCCTTTCTAGTTTTCTTAGGACTAAGGGGACATACTATGTCATGATTTATTGCATTAGTAGATTATGCATGTTAGATTTTATTTATGTTGATTGATGATGCACTAGAGTTCACTATATAATCACAACATAATAAATCTAGGTCCCAGTAATATTGAGATTGTTTTTCCAATTAAAACCCGATGAAACCTTTGATATTTATGATGGGTCACGCCTCAGTTGGGTGTCATATTATATCTTTGGGGAGTTGGGGTAAATCACGTTTTACACTTTTAATTGGTTATACTCAACAAGGTTAACTAAAGAGTTTAGAACCTTGAAGCTAAGGGTAATAATTAAGCATATGATGATTAATTATTCAACCAAGAGTTACAAGAGTTGTAATCAGTAAATAGTTTACTCACCTTGAAAATGTAATGGTTGATGGAAGGGCCTCAGTCCGGTCAATTATTGCACAAATAAAGGATATTGGAATCACTTAAATTCTTGGGATCAATTAATTATTGAATAAAGTGTTTTAAAGTTACCAAATGAATGCGTTTATGGTACTTTAATTTTAAATTAAACATAATTATTAAACTTTGCCTTATTTTGACATAGATGGGTAGCCGTAATCACAATGACAACAACGTTTACAACCTTCGACCATTACTTGAGAAGGATAGGTTGACAGGGGATAACTTTTCCACTTGGGAAAGAATGCTAAGACTTGTTCTGAAATCTAAAGGTTGAGAGGATGTCATGGACACCCCATTTCCAGGACCTCTGCCAGAAAATCCAACTGCAGCAGAGATCAAGAAACACAAGGAAGCTCATGACAGAGCTATACCTATCACTTGCTTAATGATTGCTACCATGGATCCTAGTCTTCAAAAGCGTTTTGAGGACCAGGATGCCTACTCAATCATGCAAGAACTCAAAGCTTTGTTTAAGAAACAAGCTAGAGTTGAAAGGTATGAGCTACATCGTGAGATTTTGGATTGTAGGATGGAGAAGGGAGCCACAGTTCATGATCATGTTTTCAAAATGATCGGCTTAATTCAAAGTATGGAGAAACTGGGGCACCCATATAGTGATGATATGGCAACAGACATTATTCTCCATTCACTACTAGAAAGTTTCAACCAGTTTATCATGATTTTAACATGACTGCCACTACAAAGACTATGAATCAATTGCATGCAATGCTGGTTAGTGCTGAGAAACATATCCCTAAGGAACCTAAGAAGGAAGTTCTTATGATTCAAAAGGGAAAGGGGTTGAAGAAGAAAGGGCAAAAGGCTATTGCCAAGAGAAAGGGAAAGCAAGTTTCCAAGGCTCCTGAAAAGCCTAAGACAACTCCAAAGACCAACGCTGCAAGTGAAAGTCAATGCTTTTACTGCAAGAAGAAGGGGCATTGGAAGCGAAATTGCCAGAAATACCTCGACTTCCTCAAGAAGAATGGAGCATCAACCTCAGGTATTATGTTATAAACATTTAACTTTCACTTAGTTATGAGATACCAAGTTTCAGTGCTTAACATAGTGATGTTGCACAGGAAATGCAAACAAGTGAAACTAGTAAGGAAATGGAGCTTGAAGGTGCACTAGAAGTATTTGAGTGGCCAGAGATAGCTTCATAGTTTTAAATTTTGATTAATTATCATGATTTTGGACAATTTCCAGTTTTGATGAGACAATATTTCGATTTTCTTGTTTTGAATACTGAATTTGGTTTACTTGGCTTGGACAAGTGTTGATCCATGACCAAGGTAATAAATTGTTTTCGTTTATTTTGCTAGACATGAGTTAATTTTGTTTTATGACATTGAAATAAGTAGATCACAAAAGTAAATTTAGATGATTCAAAGTACACTTACTTATAACAAGTAAGGTTAGGTCACACTAACCATTTGCACATCCAAAGTTATGGATAGACTCATATTTTTATATGATTATGAATCACTTGAGAATTAGAAGTCATGCTTGATAAGTTAGGATAACCAAGTTTCCTTTTAGTAGAAAGGGTAAAAGAAGCTAAAATGACCTTTTGGTACTCATACATATGATGTATGTGGACCAATAAGTTCAAAACTAGCAATG